CCAAGAGAGGTGGAGAATAATAGATGAGGAAGTCTGAGAGTTGCTTGCAACGGACTTTGTGAAGGAGGTCGAATATCCGAGCTGGATTGCCAACGTAGTTCTCATGAAGAAAGCCAATAGGAAGTGGTGCATGTGCATCGACTATACTGACCTCAATAGAACTTGCCCAAAGGATAGCTTCCCACTCCCTAGGATAGATTGCCTAGTAGATGCAACCTTAGGGTTTGAGGTATTGAGCTTCATGATCGCATGCTCCGGTTATAACCAGATCCAGATGAATCCTACCGACCAAGAGAAAACGCCCTTTGGGACTAAGACCAACCTTTATTGTTACAAGGCCATGCCCTTCGACCTAAAGAACGTTGGGGGTGACCTATTAGTGCCTTGTGATTAAAATTTTTGCCCCTTTGATTGGTGACAAAGTAGAGGTCTACATAGACGACATGGTCGCAAAGAGCAAATTCCATGAAACTCTAATTGCCGACCTAACTGATGTCTTCAACACACTTAAAGCTCAATTTGAATAAGTGCGTCTTTCATGTCACGTCGCGAAAGTTCCTCAACTACATAGTAAACCGATGATGTATCGAGGCCAAATCAAACAAAATTAAGGTTGTCTTAGATATACGACCTTCTAGAATAATAAAAAATGTACAAAGACTAACAGGTCAGATAGCGGACCTAAACTGGTTTATGTCTAAGTTGGATGGGTGATGCTTTTTTTTCTTTAAATCCATCAAGAAGTACCAAGACTTTGAATGGACCGAAGACTATCAACTCGCGTTTGATGAGTTGAAAATGTATGAAAAGGTACCTAAGTTCGTCACCCTTGCTAATGAGGTTGGAACTTTGAGACGAGCTAAAACTCCACCTCTCCACAAGTGATGAGATGGATAGAGTGCAATTACCTATCTACTTTGTAAGTAAAGTCTTGCATGCCGTCGAGACCAGATCTCCCAACATAGAAAAACTGGCCTTTGCCTTGGTATTGGCAGCCCAAAAGCTACACCCTTACTTTTAGGCCTATATCGTGGTAGTCTTAACCAATCAACCTCTAGGGCAAGTTCTTCAAAAGCCCGAGGTCTCAAGAAGGTTGACGAAATGGGCAATCGAGCTCAATGAGCCCATGACCACCTTTGAGGCATCAACTAGTACGACACCCAACCCGACTTGGGACAAGGAGCCTTAGATCTTCTATGTGGATGACTCGTCCAATCAATGTAGAAGAGGAGCTGGACTAATCCTCTACGGATATAGTGAAGTGAAACTAGAGTATGCTCTCTAATCCACATTCCAAGCTTTAAATAATGAAACTGAGTACAAGGCGCTTATAGCCAAGTAGTCTCTGTTAAAGGAGGTCGACGCAAAACACTTTGTCATCTGCAGCGACTTGCAGTTGGTTGTCAACCAAGTGAATGGGCAATTCAAGGCTTAGGAGCCCATCATGTTGGTCAACCTAGCAGATCCAATGCAAAACACTCTTGGTACATCTAGCAGATCTCGAGGCTTGATAACACCGAGGTCAATGCGCTCTCAAAGATGGACGATGCAATGGGCATCACAAAGAGAACTGTTTACATCGAAGGCCTGCCACGACCTAGCATCGAAAGAGTGACAAAAGAGATCGCTCCCATCATGGCCTCAGAGCCAAGCTAGATAAATCCACTTGTCGACAATCTATGCCTTGGGGCCCTCCTTAAAGATCATAATGTGGCGTGGAGGGTAAAGCGACAATTCGCTCACTATATTATCATTAGCGGGCAATGTATCGTAGGTCATTCACACTCCCCTACTTGCGCTGCTTACATCTAATCGAAGAGGAAGAAGTTTTACGAGAGATCCATAAAGGTCTTTGTGGTGGATAGTTGTGGGGCAGAGGACTAGCCTAAAATGTGACACAATAAGGATATTATTGGCCAACGATGAAGGTAGACGCCACCCAGCTCGTGCATAAATGTGATAGATGTTAGTGGTATGCCAACATACCCCGGTTGCCCATTGTCGAACTGAGGCACCTAACTAGTCCGTGGCCATTTGTGCTGTGGGGGATTGACATGCTCGGTCCCTTTCCACTGACAACCGTGTAGAGAAGGTTCTTGGTCATTGTGGTAGACTACTTATCTAAGTGGGTAGAGGCTAAGCCACTAGTCTCTATCACAGCTTGGAACATGCAAAACTTCTTCTAAAGAAACATTGTCTGCCGCTTCGGACTACCATGCATGTTGATCTCAGACAACGAAAAGTAATTTGAAGACATCAAGTTCCATAATTAGTGTGTCGAGATGGAGATTCATCAAAATTTCACCTCGGTAACTGACCCTCAAGTCAACGGATAGGCCGAAGTGACCAATTGAGCTATCTTGCGAGGCCTCAAAGATCGACTCTCTCAAGCTAAGGGTCTATGGGTGGACGAGCTGCCCAATGTTCTGTGGGCCTACCAAACTATGATCAAGACAACAACCAGTGGGACTCCCTTCAACTTGACGTATGGGATGGAGGTTGTCATCCTGACTAATATCGAAGTGCCAACCTTATGGTTTGAGATGTATGACAAAGAGGCCAACGAGGACGAGCTACGGACTAACCTCAACCTAGTGGAGGAAGTTCGCGACTTGACCTATCTTTGGATTGCAACATACCAGTAGCAGGTAGCTTGGTACTATAACGCTCGAGTTAAGAGACACCAATTTCAAATTGGCAACCTAGTACTCATGAAAGTTATGGTACCTGAGCCCGGCACAAGAAAGCTAGGTCTGAACTAGGAAGGCCCCTATAGAGTCTTAAGGGTTATTGACGAAGGCATGTACGAGCTCAAAACCTTAGAGGGGAGGCAGGTACCCCATGCATGGAACATTGACAATCTGCGAACATACTACTACGTCTAAGGCTCAGGTGCAGCCTCAACCTATACAAAACACAAACCTCGACCTACGCTAAGCACCTCGACTAGAAAAATTAAAAAGGGGAAGCTAAACTGCTTTCAACTTTAAGGCCTCCTTAAGCCAACCTCGAGACACATCGACTGATCTATGCAGGCCAGTCCCCATCTAACTAGCTCAGTAGCGTTTTGACTTTGCCGCTACTCTAATTGGTCAGCCTGTTTTTTAGCACGACCTAAGTGTACTTCAGTTCAAAGGAAGACTAGTTCACTTTCAACACCTCGATTGACATGCAAATTTGGCCAACTTCTTTATAATCGTCCTCCACCTTGGTTTCAGGCTCTGCATTGACCTTGTCTGCTACTCCTCTGAGGATCGGCTCGAGGGACATTGCATTGAAATCTGTGTAAGTGGAGCAACCTGAGGAGGCAGTCATGCAATTTGAAGCCCCTCTTGAGGACAACACGACGAACTTCGCTCCTAAGGTGTTCAGCCGAATTGCAGAACTCCTTGATGGTTACATCCTTAGTACGGTAGATGTCATTGGAGTGCTTGCTTTGCATCTCCTTGAGCAGATGAATTCGCTCTTGTGCCAAGATAATTAAGATGGCGAAGTCCTGCGTAATGCTACATTCAACCCTTAAAGTCTTCCGACTTGGGGAGCAAACTAGACCGATGCTTACAAACTAATCGAACTAGTCACTTCGATTTGGCGCTTATGCCATGACATCGCAACATGTGGCACGACAGGACTGTCGCATGACACCTCAGCGCCACACAAATAGCTGTGGATCTCACTAAGTCAAGGAGGCGTACCTTGAAACCAGTCTGAGAACCTCGTATACAGCTCAGGCACCTTAGGAGAGCGGCTAGTGGCACCTCGCCTAAGGCCGACCTATGGTACCTCGTCAGTACCGGTCTAAGGGACCTCGATATGATGAGCAACCTTCCTCGAATGACTTACTGACCTGACTGAGGTCCAGGTGGATCAATAGCTTGATTCCCTAAATGCTGAACCAATAGTTAAACTTTGCAAATCAACCATATGCATCAAAATACAATTCAAAGCAATGAAATTGGTAGCAAAATAGGTGGCTCCAGGGCGGACAATCTCAGTCCAAGTAGGTCACTTCCTTAACATAGACAAGACAAAAGTGTGGTTGTATACAAATTTTGTTATTTTAGATGCACGCCGCACCATATCAGCAATATAATCCATTTCTCCAATATCTTTTAACATCAAGTTCAAGCAATGTGCAGCACAAGGTGACCAATACAACCAAGGAAATTCATCCTCCAACATTTTCCCTACAACTACATAATTTGCTGCATTATTAGTGATGATGTGATCAACATTGGAAGTTCCAACCCAAGTTACAAACTCTTTCAACAAAATAAATAAATTTTCTGCAGTCTTAATTGTGTCAAGGGCATCGACTGACTTGATAAATGCAGTCCTCTTGGACAATATACCAAAAAATTAATCAAAGTCCTGTTTCGTATATCTGTTCAACCATCATCCATTATAGAACAACCGAATCTCACCCATTTACTACGAAGACTCTCAACAAATAGCTCAACTTCTTTAACCAAAAGACCCAACAAGTGTGTTTATATCCCGAACCTATATCAACAATTGCATTTACCGTAGGTTGAAAATATTGTGAATTTATGTTATGGCATTCAAAGGTATACATGCATCACACATCCACCTCAAAACACAACAATCGGCATTCAACCTTACTTCATTGGAAGCAAGTGCACTCTTGATTCCTGATGATGCTTTCCCTTTCTATGGTGGCAAGTTTTTTTTTTTTTTTTGATTTATTGGTCACACCTCCTTGATTTGAAGCAAAATGATTTGTTATCGCCCGTTCGCCGGTTCAAATGTCCGGGTTGATGATTTTACTGACTTTTCAACGGTTTTTTTTTAAATATCGGGTTTTATAAGAGTCGGACCTGAAAAAATCGACCGGATGACGGTTCGACCGTCCGGGTCAACGACGGGTTGGAAACCTTACTTTTGACGCATCAAAACCCCCCGTCAATTTTGATAAAAACACACATGATTGGTCGTCACTTTCCCGGTATCATGTCTTTCCGGATAGTGGATGGTCGAAAACTCGAAATCCACTCTTGTCCATGACAAACTTTGCATTAGGTTATCCGTTATCGTCTTCCGTCACAAAAAGTAACGGGAGGGAGGTTTAAGTAACCTTCCCTCCAAAAGCCGTGTTTCGGTTGACGGTTGTCAAACCGGGAGAAGCAAAGCCCTAACCTAGTAACCTTCCCTCCAGAAGCGAGAGGGATAATGGAAGTGTAGGAGTCTTGTGTAGGCTGCCTGACGGTCAGATTTCTGCAAGGGGACGGACTCTCCTTCTTTATCGTCCTTGTTTAGGGTTTGTTGTTTCTGTTTTATTTTAGGTTCTGTTTCTGGTTATTCCGGAACACTGAACCCAAGCTTGGGATTTCGTAAGGATTCGACATGGGAGTTCCCGCCTTCTATAGGTGGTTAGCTGAGAAGTATCCGTTGGTGGTGGTGGACGTTGTCGAAGAAGAACCGGTCGTGATCGATGGCATTTCTATTCCGGTTGACACCAGTAAACCTAACCCTAACAACATCGAATACGACAATCTCTATCTTGATATGAATGGAATTATTCATCCCTGCTTTCATCCCGAAGACCGGGTACGTCTTCCTATCTTCCACGGCATCTTTACACATGCTGCCCGAGCTATTTTCTTAATTGACGAACAAGTTCAAAGTCGTATTGAGCTTCTGAGTTCTGGTGTTTTTTCTTTTTAAATACTTTTGATATTTCTATTTTTCTTTGCTATGCGAGCCATAACGTGAAGGTGTGAATGAATAAAAGAAAGTTAACTGTACATTATGAAGAAAATAAATGATGAGTTAGTGGTGTTATGGTCTTGTTTATCTGGCTCCTAGACTGGAAACAAAACTCCAATTATGACAATGGACATAAAAAAAAAGAAATTTTATTAATACCAAAAGAAAAGTGTACATCCTCCAGTGATGAGAACCGCAGCTAAAAGACAACAAACAAAATTAAATCAAGAAAGATTTAGCTTAACGTCTGAAATGAATTTTGAGATTGCTCAAAGTGGTAATCATGTCCATTAGTCAAGTCAGGCAATAATACTGCCACTCCATAATCTACAATTTTCCTGCAAACTTATGTTATAATGCCATCTCATGTTCTCCACATATCGCTAGTAGTTTTCACCGGGGAAGATGCTAATTCTACTAATATTTCATTTGATACTCATGGCAAATGGAAAAATGTTGTGGGAATATTGGGAAATATGTGGACTTTTTAAACCATGCTTGATATTCCCTTTGGAAAGTGTGCTTTTGGATTAAAAGCTGAAGGCATGGTTGGGATCCCTAGGATAGAGATGAAGACAAACCAGGTATGACGGATAAAATACTAGAAGAAACAAGTAGTTCGAGAAATTGAATGGGAGAAAGCGGGAAAGAGAAGGGGAGTGTGGAGGTTCCTGAGAATAGAGGAGAGGAGAGGTGGGAGGAAGGAGGGAATGGGTTCTTGACGACAGAGGAAGGGGGGTTACGCTGATATCGGATAACAATATAAGGGAAGATGGCAAAAGGGTGCAAAAGTCTAGTGGAGAGTTTATTGAAGTGGGACAAGTGAGTGAGCTGGGGGGATTCGAGAGGAAGGAGGGAATATTGCAGACAGATAAGTCATAATTGTTGAGGAAGATGTTAGTGCTGGTCAAAAGGGAGATGGCATGGCAAAGGAGGTACGAGTTGAAGGATGTAAGTTTAGTTCATCTGTAGAGAAAGGGGATTCTGATTCCCTTACGAATGGAATGTTGGAGACAGAGGCAATGACTGGTGGTGGGACAGAGTTGGTGGAGAGCCAACAGTCTGAAGCTAATTTAGGGTTCAGGGATTGATGTTTAGGAAACTTTGTAGAAGTTGTTGTTGGAGGAAGATAGGGCAAAGATTTGGGTAGGAAAAGGGTGGAGGCTGGCAAGTTTGAGAAATTAAAAGGGGATAAAGTTACAAGTAATACTTTGAATCCAAAAAGGATGAAGGGCCCAAAAAATTGTCAATTGGTCCATGTAACGGTGGTTTTTGCCCATTTAAAAGAAGGAATTTGTGGTGCAGGTCCTTGTAATAAATCTAAAAGGGTGCATAAAAGGAAGGAGGTGAAAGAGAAAACAAGAGGTAGAGTTGGGGTGATTGTAGATTATCTTTCTAATCAAAATCAAGAAATTTGTTTGAAGGAGTCAGAGGAAGTTCTTGTTAGTCAAGTGGAGCTTGAATGCCAAATTGTTGAAGAAGAGAAGGAAGAATCTATTGAAGCCGGGGAGGAAATCAAGGAAAACACAGATTGACCCCTTGGGTTTAGAAAGTACAGAACAAAACCTATTGAAGATATAGGAAGACAAGATGACTCAGATGATTTTCTTCAAGAGAGGGAGGTTGAAGTTAATGAAACTCTGTTTTTTGGAGGCTGTGGGACAAAGTGATAGAATGCGGGGTGTGGTTGAAAGTCAGAGTTTAGGGTTTTTGTTTTTCATTGTAAGGGTTGATTTTGGTGGTTGCTTTTCCCCTTTTTTATGGATATTTCTTGTCACCTTTATTGTATTTCTTTCTTTATAAAATTTTCTTTTTTATTTGTTACCAAAAAGTACTTCAATTTTTAATGTAAATTTCTTTATCTGACACATTGTCCAGCCATGTCCTTGCCATATTGGGGTAACATGGTTTGGAACTACTTCATACATATTTCAACTGATTATATTTATTTATTTTTGATCCAGTCTTCTCCTACAACATTTGATGAGGTATTCCAATGTGTGTTTGATTATGTTGATCGACTATTTGTGATGGTGCGGCCTAGGAAGCTTCTTTACATGGCTATTGGTTAGTATATGGTAAAATACCACTTTGCACAGCAATTTGTAATTTGTAATATGTGCAATGCTTATTGTTTGAAAATAATTTCAGATGGTGTTGCTCCGAGGGCTAAAATGAACCAGCAACGTTCCAGGCGTTTCAGAGCTGCCAAAGATGCAGCAGAAGTGGTAGGCCATTCAGATATTTCCCTTGTGAAACTTCCCTCATTCACTTGTTCATTTGTTTTGTTTGTTCTTATGTTCTTTGCAACAAAACCAAAAGCCCCACAAAACAACAAGCAGGACAACAACCCCACAAAAGACAAAATTCAAGCAAACACTAGAACAGAGCAGACCCAACCTTTAGAAGAAGAGCTGAGAAACTTACACCACAGCCCTTTTACCCCTACTCCCTTGATCCCTGCCACACAAAGTAGAAGATCCACCCTGGCTCTAGGATTCACGACTACATTGTTGTAAAAATCAGAAAGCATTTTGGCTTTCCTGCACCCTGGAAGCTGTCCAAGCTGTTGAAGGACCACTCTAATTCCTCCCTCATGACAGAAGTTAGGTCCTCCAAAGAATCTTGCTTCTTCTATGAAGTTCGAGCGTCTTGATCCTGGAGTAAACGAGCTTTAACTAGCTTCTGAGTGCCAACCTTTCCCTTTGGAAAAGAAATCCCCCAGCCATTTTCTGAAGTTCATTATGCTTTCCACTTGCTGATTAAGCAAAGCTGAACGCGAAACTTTGTTTGCAATGGTTTTTGTGCTCTCTAGCTCCCTAGCAGTCAAGTCCACATCCAAGTTACTTTATGCTAGGGGAGAAGCATTTCCTTCCCTTTCGTTCTCTGAAAATGCTAAAACCAATGGTTTGGTGGACTTAAGACTTTGCCAAGTTTCACCACCAAACTTGCCCACTAATGACCACCAAATCTTTGCAGGAACAATGCCTACAAGAAATTCGCCATTCACCACCACCTGAGCTTGAAATAGGCTTTGGGACAACCCTGAATCTTTAAATTGTGAATTAAAGCCTGCACTCTCTTATTTGAGCTTAGATCTTTTTTGAGCCAAGCCCAAATGGAATTCAAAGGGACATCCGACACAGTTTTGGGATGAGGGCCCACCATTAAGAGGGAAAGAGAGAGGTAGGGGTGTATTCGAGCCAAGCTGAGCCGAATACTTGGCTATTCGAGCTTGGCTCCCAGGAAAAGTATTAGGCTTGAGCTCGAGCTTGATTCGAGTTAGAGACTTGAGCTCGAGCTCGGCTCCACTCGAGCTCGATTATAAGCCAAGTTTTTTTTGAAAAATAAAATTTATATGTATAAAATTATTTTTTATTTTTTAGACAAAAAATTAAGAATTATAAAAATTTTTTAATATTATATATACAAAAAATAATTATTAAAATTATTTTTATTTTACATACAAGAAAATAAGAATGATAAAAATTATTTACTATTATACATAAAAAGTAAAAAATATTATATTAATAAAAATATTATTATATATATAATAAAATTATTTATGTATGTATGTAATAAAAATTATTTATTTAATACTAGGCTTGCGAGCCTCATGAGCCGGGCTTCACTGGGCTTGAGCTCGGCTCGATTAGCAAACGAACTTGCCGCTTAGACATCCACACCTCCAATCAGTTGAACCGCAAACAACAGGAGTTCACCACTTGTACTATTTGGTGAAACAACTCCAATCAGTTGTTCCATGTTTGAATCTGGTTTGAAAGCCATTCCCCACCTTTATTTAGTCTATGGCAGTGCTTCCTTTGTTGCTGCTTCCTCCCCTGCAAAGCAAAGACTACTTTCCTTGTAGCTTCCATAAAATAACCTCTGCCCATCTCCTCTGTGCAAGCATTTCTTTTGGGCGGACTTCCCTTGAGATGCTGGCATAACTACCACTTCTTCAACTGGCACTCAAACATGAAAATCCAGTTTCTGCTAGGAAAGGTTTGCAGAATCGACTGCAATGAACCCTCCCAGGGTATCACCTATCTCGTTGAAGTGGCCCTACTCCAGGTCCAGGTGTGAAGAGGTACCCTGAACACATTAATCCACCACCTTCAGACCTTCCAAATCATGGTGCGGGCTCCATCTTTGCAAAAACAATAGGCTTCCATTGATGCTGGACCTACTTGAATGTAGAGTCCTGTAGCTTCAAGTTCGAGAATATCAGAATAAACTTGTTTCCTTTAATCACGACTGGCTTCTCCATGACTAGCTTGCTTAGCTCTCCAACTCAATAGCCTCAGGGCATCATTGTGGAAACCGTGTGACCAAGCAAAACCTTAGGAAAACCTCTTTCCCAGCAACTCCAATGCTTGAAACAACCACTGTGTTGGAAGCTCCGAAAACCTTCACAGAAGTAGAGCCTTCCTCTGGCACTCCCAGCGAATCCATTTTCCACATGACTGTTAGATAACTTGGGGTTATTCGACAACCCAATATAAGAAGAAATAAATGATAGGATATTCAAAGGGAAGCATAAAATAAAGGAGGCAATAATACAAAGCATAATGGTGATGGTGGCACATTAGGTTAAGAATTGGAGTTATTCAGCCAATTCACAATGGATGATATCTTTCAAGATTGGACTTTTTCAGATCTTGGGGGGCTATTGCAGTATTGCTGAGGCTGAACTTTGATGGGACAATGTGGAGGCGTGATGCGAAGCATTCTACTACTTAGAGGCGTGAGGCGTAGTTCAGAACGTAAGATGGTAAGAGGCGTAAGCCTCCCGAACACAAGGAGGCGTAAGCCTCCTTAAGAGGAGGGGGGATGAGGAGGAAGAAAAATCTCATTTTTCTTTATTTTTAATAAAAATATTTTATTTTAAGAAAAATGAAGATGCATAGCGCTAGTTGAAAAAAGCATATGAGGCGTACGCACCTGATGTGTCCTTCTCAGAGGTGTCAGCACCTCTGGAATACGCTTCAATGCATTTTGGGGGCGCTTTGCCCAGAGGCGCGCCTCCAGGCGTACGCCTTCCACGCTTTTTACATGGGAGTTGTGTGGGCAATCTGGGCCTCTTCAGAATTGGAGGGGTAATCAGGGATGAGGAAGGAAATATATGTGCCTTTTGCTCAGGACCAATTGAGCAAGGTGATGTTGCAACAGCAGAATCTTGGCAGCATTTTTTGGGGTTGAGAAAGCCAAAGAATTGGGTTTCGAAAGGTTAATTATCAAAGGTGATTCCAAAATAGTTGTGGACTGGCTAAAGAAGGGGGTGGGGGGTGGGGAGTTTCTTGGCATCTAAGGGATGATCTTAGATGGTTCAAATGACTTTCTAAGGACATGTACATTCAAGTTAATTGGGTTAGAAGGTCTGCCAAAAGTTAGGTGGATGGTCTAGCTAAGCAAGGGGTTCGAAGACGGTCTATGTTTTGGGCTCAGTTGTAATATTGTGGGGGCTTAGACTCTTTCATTCTACTTGTTTCTTTCACAACTTGTTCTATATTCTTATAATTTTAATAAATTTCTTTTTGAGTTGCTGATATACATACACACACATACTTTCAAGTTAGAGGATAGTGGCTGAGTCAACCGCTATTAGGACAGTGCTCACTCCCAATGGGCCCCTTTATGTTGGGTGCACAAAATTGAACTTCAATGGAAGCCTTATTGGTAAAATGGGACCTTCACGAGTTGGGGGAGCCTTTAGAGGTCATGAGGGGAACATGCGTACACTTTACTCTGGACTGATCAGTCTTGATTAAGTTACAAGGTAGTCCAAAACAGACAGTCCCGAGAAATCCCTTGTTTGGCTAATTTTTAAATTATAATTTGTTAAATTCTACCCATTGTTGTGAAGACATGGACATGGGAACCATAATTCAGTGTGTGCTCAAGTATGTATGGCTCAGCAAGATGAGAAAATATGGACTTGTGGACATGGTTTAAAATGTCCCTAAATTTCCTAATATTCCCGTGACATATTTCCGTTTCAATGGGTAGTGACACAATTTTATTGGAATCAACATATTCCCCAGCAAACACTATCAACATTATGTGTAGTACAAGAAATAGTTACCATGGCATATTTCCATTTCCATGGGTAGTGACATGAATTTTAATTCCAGTGAACACTACTATCACTATGTGGAGTAGAAAGATAGTATTATAACATAAGTTGGTGACAATATTGTAGATATGTGGAGTAGCAATTATTGCTTGCCTAATTTGATTACTACATTGAGCCAGATTGATATTCATTTCAAACATGAAGTTAAATATTAGTTTTTTGTTTGTGTAGTAGATTATTTGGTTGATCTATTAGAACCCTTTGCATTCTATGAGTTTAAATTTTACTTTAACTGAGTTTATCATGCAGTTTTGAACCTTGATAACATGTTCTTTTGTATATAACCTTAGTTACTTAGCTTTGTTTAATGATTTGGAACAAGATAATAATTTACAAAGGCGTGTCTATGTTTTCTTTTTTTTTTTCTTTTTATCATTTCACAAAATATCGTTCTATATTTTTGCATATTTTACAATGTTTCCACCATGTCTATAATTTTTACAATATTTCTGACATTTCTAACATGTATCCTATATTTGGATGACCGACATTTCCACTGACATCAACATTTTAAACCTTGCTTGTGAACATGCCTATTGGAAAAGCATATACTATTAAAATAATTTGTATTTTTTGAATTTGAACATTGTATTACTTGCAAAAAGGGGTCTAAAACGTTGCCTTTGTTACTAAATAATTTTGGCTACAAAAATGGCATTCATCTTGTACATAAAAAAATCATTTATGTCAAATATGTTAGGACTTAGGAGATAAAGAGGAATTAGAAGGAGATTATTAAGTTGTTTGGTAATGATTAACATCAAATGAGGAACCCCCATGGAGGTTTAGAACCATGGTTAGGAAGTCAAAGCAATTGAAGAGGCTTGAATTGCTCATTCAGGTGGATTCCAATGTTGGCAGGTGCTTTAGATGACAACCTAGCTAAAGCTAGGGTAAACAGGCAAGGGTGTAATTGGGTTTGCCTGGACTGAGTATTGATCCGTAATTTGTTAGTTTTTACTTGTATATTGTTAGCTAAATGCTGCTATTGTACTGTCCCTTCTGTCAATTTGGGAAGCATGGTTTCTGTTTATAAAGGCTATGGATTCAATGAGTCTGACACAGAGTATACCATTCTACATATTTTAGAAGTGTTAATGCATGAAACGTACTCTAGAACTAGTAGTCCATGTAGTATCTGGTGTCATATTAGGTATATATCCACCTTGATTTTGAGTAGGAAGGATTCTTTTCATGAACGAATACAATTTAATGTTATTGATAAAAAAGGGTACTTATCTGACAATTGTATCGTATGCGTGTGCAGGTATCTGGTATCACTGGATACGGTGATTCCCTTCAAGCAGACATAGATTTTTTTTTTTTTGATAATTGAAATGATTTTATAAATCAGCAATAAAAGTAGTACAAAGTCCTCTTGGAAAGGTACGAGTTGCAACCTCTCCGGGCTGGTTAAGTACAGATTTCCGAATTAATAACAACTTACATAGAAGCACAAAAAAGATCTTCCCTAGAAACCCCCTGTTTGGCTA